TCTCAAAAACATATTACTGCAGTCGTTACACCCAAAGAAGGAAAGCTTGAAGTTGGAGATATCAAAACACTCATTCCCACAACACAACATGTTGTGGTGGGAGGATTCAATTCTTATCTTGTGGTGGCCGACAAAATTCCACAGGTAACAGATGAAGTAATTGTTGAATGTTGTGAATTTGGTGAAGCAGTTAAAAAAACCTTTAAAAATTTACCATTTTCGAGCAAACTTAAATCTTTTCTATATAGTATGAAAGAGGCACCCATGAAAAACTCTAAAAATACCCTTCATAAGTTATTATTTCACTACTTTTTCAGTGAAAATTTTAAGTTTAATGCTGGGTTGGAACTTTTAAATGAATTTACTATTTTAGGAGAAGAAAAGATTTACAGTACCATGTGTATACTGAAGAAATATCTCTTTAGGATGGATAAATTTCTATTCAATGAAGTCAATAGGTTGGCTAATACTAAACTTTTAGGTGTGGCTACTCAGCAAAATATTACCAGATTAGATTATTTACATAACTTTTTAACAGCCATATCTTATTGTGCTCCACCATTAGAAAAGGAGGATGGTTTTATTGGAATTAAGAAACAGAAAACAATTATAACATGGTTTTTTTTCTTTAATTGTGGGCATTTAAAGGATGAAAGAGCTGCTGAAAGATTTGTTCTCTACTGTTTATGGAAATCCATTAAAGACAAACAAAAAGCAACTACCATCGATGATTCTTTTATCATCAACAATGATTTATCACCAACAGGTACTAATGGAGATGATAGTCCTATAACTGAAACACCAAAGAGAAAGCATGACAATAGACAACCTTCTTCAATTAAGAAACTTGAAAGCTATCTATTACAGAGCGAAGATTGTGATTTGTTTTTAACAAATATTCCTGAAAATTTAAAACAGTATGCCAAAGGTATTATTCTTTCCAGTGATTGGAGTTTTTTCCACAGAGTTCTGGCAGTGTGGAGAATTGTAAATGAGGATGATACTATTTTAAATAAGTATGGTAAACAACATCTCTTACGGTATGCTACAAAATTCATGAATGATGATGATGAAGATATTTCAAATACCAAAAAAGAATTCTACATATTGAGACAAATTGTCTACTTGATAACAGATCCACCCTCTCAGAGTTTATTTAAAATCACTTTAGAATCATTTGGTGAAACTGTAAAAGAAAGAGGATTGATTCACCGATTGTATGATGGTGCAGATGAAAGAAGCAAGGTTTTACAAATAGAAAATCAATATTATATTAATGCAAAGCTTATGAGTTCTGAATATGCACGCATGGTGTTGGAATGTATGAAAAAATATAACTATCATTTCAAAAACAGTAGTTTATTTAGTGATAAGAGTTTATTGCAAGATCTATTTTACAATGATCCATTTAATAATGAATCTATAGTTTCTAATAATTTGATATATGATACTAGTCTTGATGATGGAAGATCCATTAGTAACAACTTAAATAGTGGAAGCAATTTACCTCTTCAGTATTACTGTACAATCATTCACCCAGGTCATAGAGATGGTGATTTTGAAAAGTATAACGAAGTGAAAAACAAGTTACAGTCTGTTTCACCTCAATTTGAATTCAATTACATTTATGTTGCTCAGTGGATTGGAGATACAAATACATTTGCTAACTTCTATCTTTTTTTCAAGCCCAGCATTAAACAGTTATATACAATGTTGAAGATTTCTTGCAGTGAATGGGAGAAAAAGTATGGTTCTTGTTATAGAGGTATCAAAGACATGTACAACCAATTTTATATTCCTCTCACAACCAGTTTCGAATCTCTAACAGGATATTTATTAACACAACTTATTCACAAAACTAATAGTCAATCTTCTGAGTGCCAGTTCTATTTCAAATCCAAGCAATCAAAAATTGCATTTGATTCCGTTTGGACTTTGTGTTATGGAAATGATGAAGGAATTAATAGTGTTAAAAACCTTAAATTGGCTCCAAAGCTAACGATGTTGATTTTGAGGCTCTTTCATTACTTAAATCATTTAGTTCA